TTAGCAGCATCTTTATCAAAAGAGAACTTGAAGGGAACCCCAGGACAGCAGAGGGGCTGTTGGCAACCTTCCCTAAGGATGGCCCCACCCAGTGGGAGGGGCCTTGCCCAGCAGGCCTCTGGCTGGGGTCTGTGCCACCAGGGCTCACTCCCTGAGACCAGGGCCAGGGGCCAGCCTCCCTGGCCTCCACTGGGGGGGGTCATCTCCCAATGCCTTTGTATGTAGCTCGTTGAGACCCCCGGTGAACGTGGCACACACGTAACAACATGCTCTGCGACAACTCTGTTTCTCTGAAATGCATCCAAATGTGGAAAAAATCGTGCTTAAATTTTTGAAATATTTAAAGCATCTGGTATACTGCCCGGCACACAGAAAGTGCTTAAAATGGTTCCATTCTTCATTCATTACCATTTGCCTGACATATAGCTGGGTTTTATTGTATTTCAGGAGATTGGGGAGAAACATGGCAGTTTTTTTAGGACTATCAGGGGCAGTACTGACGGATTCAGTGGTTATTCTTCTGATGGTAGGAGCACACTCCCTCCATCTCTGGGCTGTTACTGTTCCGAGCTCGTGTGTCCGCTCGTCCGAGGCCGCCTGCCAGGGCCAGTCCCAGCTGCCTGCCCGGCTGGCGAGCATTCCCGAGAGACTCGCCAGGTGCTCCCTGAACTTGGAGCAGGCGGCCGCCGGGCAGCAGGAGATAACTCTGGGCCTCAGGTCTCCATCCATGCGCTTGCCGAGTGACCGATCAAACAGAGCAGACTCGGATTCACCACCTGGCCAACTCCAAACGCCTCCCAGACAGGAGCTTCCTGAGTGTTCTATGGCAGTGACCAGGGCCGGGGGCCCCCCAGTTGGCCGGCCAGGTGACATGCGTCCTGGGAGTCACATCCAGGTGTGGCCACAGCAGTAAACGTGCCCAGTGGCAGCTGGCAGACACAGGTCACCTGTCTCCCAGGCCGCCCTGTGGTTAGAGTCTCATCCAACCATCTCGGAGAGACAAGCGCTGTTCTCACCGTCATTCAAGGGAGTTAGCCGAGGACCAGCGAAGGCAGAGGACTTGCTGGACACTGTCCACCGGGTGAGGAGCAGAGCGGGGACCTGAACTCAATCTTCTGACGCCATTGACTTTAAAGAAAACACTTGCCCTGGAAAGGATGCTGTGTGTGGCATTGTTGGCTGGTCTGACATCCATCTGCAGCTTTCATCCCCAGTCTTGTAGTTTGCATGTAGTAGGTGCTCAGTAAACAGTTACAGGGTGAATGGACGAAGGCAACCTGGGCCTGTTATTTATTGAAGGTACTTGGGGTCAAACTTCGGAATATCCCGAGGCTACGCCATTCAGAGTAAACTCTAAGGTCCGTTGATTTAGCGACCTGGGAAATACCTGCTGCACGTCCACTGTGCTCCCGGTTCCTGCTGGACGCTGGGCCTGCAGCGGTTCACCAGGATACAGGGCTCGCACGCCCGCAGGCTGGCTGCCTGGGCTCTGCGTAGCCTCTGAACCCCCCAGCCAGGTCACAGGAGCTGTTTTTTATTTTATTTTATTTTATTTTATTTTATTTTATTTTATTTTACCCTACTTTACTTTACTTTACTTTACTTTATTTTATTTTTACGGAGGGGAAGGGAGAGAGAAAGGAGAGAAACATCAATGGGTGGTTACCACTTGCACGCACCCTAATGGGGACCTGGTCTGCTACCCAGGCATGTGCCCCGACTGGGAATCGAACCAGCGACCCTTAGGTTCACAGGCCCGCGCTCTATTCACTGAGCCACACCAGCCAGGGCTTCCAGGAGCCGTTCTGACATCTCTCCGCCATCACCCCGTTTGGCTCGCTCCCTCAGTCACCTGGGCAAACCCAGCGCCACCATGAAACTGTAACTGGGATAGAACCCGCAGGTGCGCCGGCCAGGTTGGTGTCTGCCTTGTTTCGAATCCGCGATTCCTCCTCTGGTGTCACTGCAGGGGCAGAGCGTTCAGTGCTCCCCGAAGCTGCTTCTGGGCTATTCCATCTTAAATCCAGGACCCAGCAACCGCAGAGGAAAAGGGTTGCCAGCGGCTCCCCCCGCCGGACCCGTGCGCTAGATCCCAGCGCTGGGCTCTTCGTCGGACACCCAGGTTCTTCCCAGCAGCCGCCTCTGCCTCTCTCCCGCCCTGGTGCATGTCCAAAGGTCGGTGCCCCCAAGAACCAGGCTGACGCCACGCAAGCATCTGCCCCTGCGGGAAACCAGGCAGCCCCGGAGTCCGGGCCGCCACCCATCCATTTTCAGTGGCAGGAACCTTGTGGGCTCTGCCAGCCGGCTGCGAGGACAGACACAGCCAGACGGCGCTCTGGGCGCGGTCGGGCCTTCAGCTGTGGTTTTCAGGCAGGTGAGAAACGTACGCACCACATTCCGATTTGGTGCTCGATCCAAAGTGAGGTCAGAGCCTGTGGCCACAGCCCATAGAGTCAGGAGCTGAGCAGGTTCTGTTGTCTGTGCCGTGGAGAAGGTCCGGGCTGTGGACGGGAGACCTGGCCCCTGTCCCAGCCTCCTCGTCCTGCGTCTGGGTGACGACGCTGTTGCAGCCCAAGTGAGGGTGGAGGACGTTGTCCGTCTGTCTATCTATATAGCGGCCGTTTTTTATGAGTAGGCAATACAGTGAGGTTCCTTTGAATATGCTTCTTTAGAAGCCTTTCAACAATCTCTAGGGAGTTACACTTTATCGAAAGTGAGAGTGAGTGACAATGAAATTTCAAACTAGGTGGAACCTTATAGAAGTTTTATTAGGAGTTTTATAACCAAAAGTAACAAACGCACATTTCGTCACACAGGTAATTCCAAGGTCAAGAACTAAAGTCTCCCTTCCTCTCCGGCCCCTCCTTTTGTGTCACGGCTCTTTGGGAATCCGGGAGGCCACACGGACCCCGCTGGGTCCACATGGAGGGGAGCATGGGGGCCTCCCTTCCCAGGAAGCAGCTGGGCATCGGGCACTTAGAGGAACAAGCCAGCTCAGAAGGACAGGACCTGAAACAGCAGGCGCAGGGTCCCCTGGCACTGACCAAGGACTGTTGAAGGTCACTGTCTCCGGCAGGGATGTACGTCTCAAATTACTCTGTTCTGCTGGGGCACGTGTTCAGGAGACACTTTGGTCCGTGTGTCCTTTGTTGCGGTGTTGCCGCCTGCGGCGAAACCCTGCAGCGATCAGAGCTTGGAACGAGGGACGGAGACCTGGCCGCCCGAGACCTTGGGGACCCTTCCCTTTGTCACAGCGAGATGACGCCAAGTCGGTCATGATTGTTAGCAACGGTTTGGAGCTAAAAATGACCCCAAGTGCGTTCTGTAAGGAGCGAAATGAAGTAAAACAAACCTGGAAGACTTTTTGTAAGAGTTTCCTTTGTACTCTTGAAAACTTTCTTTAATTTTCCTCCCTTTATCCAAATCCAGCTCCTTCCCCCTCTCCTGCGAGTCTTACCTGTAGGCCTTTGGAGGTCGTGGAGGGTGAGTGGCCGCCGCCCTGCTGTGCTGGTGAGGCTCGGGGCCACTTCCAGGACAGGGCGGAGCCCATCCACCTGTCCCTACCCACGGGCGGAGCAGCACCTGGTGCTCCGGGCCTCTCCCAGTTTTCCCGCAGGGCACCCGGTCTCGGGGGAATCGGAGGAAAAGTCTAGACCCAGCTGCACCGGAAGTGCGGGGGGCTCTCAGCAGTCCCCAGGTGCCTGCCCGGGGAGGGCCGACCTCAGCAGCCACCGGCTTCCCTCCGGCTCTCTCCACCGGCCTTCGGAAGCAGCCCCTCAAAAGGAACCGGTCTCTGAGGCTGCTGACGCCGCGCCGACCCCCCCACACACATGTTCCTGTTCACAGGTGCTGGTCGGGTGGGGGTTCCCCGCCCAGGCAATGGGCACACACAGACACACTCCACAGAGTCCCCGCGCTGGGACAGCCCCATCCAGGGCCTGCTGTGGGACATGGGCAGGAGGAAGGAGCAGAGCCCCCCCAAGGGCTTTCTCTTGTTCTCCACGTCCGTGGGGACAGGGTCTGCAAGGCACCACCACTACACGGGCCCCCTGCTGCCGGCACACGCCCTGTGCACCGGCCTCACTCCGCCCCCTTTTCTCTCACTTGTGCCCCCAGGATGAGAGACGGTGGTAGTGGCCCTGCCCCCGAGCCCTGCCCAGAGTCACCGCTGCTGTCTCAGCCCTCCAGCCCTGGTCTGCTCACCGACAGGCTGCTGCTTTCATTCCGTCGTCACGGTCCCTTCTTCTACCTGAACCTGCCCACTGCTTCCCACCCCCGGCCTGCCGGTCTGCAGACCGAGACTTGCCACTGGTGACGCCGAGGAAATCTCAGGACGGGCTCACGAAGCCGGTCTCACACCTGGGTGCCGCGGCCCGCTCTCAGAAGGGACCCTCCGCTCGCCTGGTCATGCAGCAGCCGCCCACGGTCCCCGACAGATCTGTGGCTGCAGGCTAGGCTGCCCTGGCTCTCCAGGGTCCGCAGGACACGGGTGGGGTGTAGGAGGTGACAGAAACACTTCCTCCTGGGGACAGGGGCCCCGCCGCAGCTTTTATGGGAGAAAGGCCCTCCCTCCTCCACGGCGCCTCGCTACACCGGCCCACGTGACGCACGCGCTCTGGTGTGGGCACACCCTTGTCACAGCTTCCAAACCACGAGGCCCAGGGTGTGGGCCCGAGCGCCTCTGTCCGTTCTGCCCGAACGCTCTTCCTCCTGACCCGGCAGGCTGCTCGTCACGCTAGGTGTAGGAAGGTCTTATAGGAGTGTTAAAAATGTGTCTCTCACCAGCCCGTGCACCGAGCGCACTGCAGCCAGGCTACACCAGCGGTCTGAGCTTGCTAAGGCCCTTTTGTTTTTTGTGTCATGTGACCAACTTCTCTACGCCCAGATCAGCAGTCGTAGGGTTATCCCAGGGGGCGCGTTTGGGAAGACCTCACGCACCGTAAACATTCGGAACTTAGTGTGTTTCAGACACTAGAATTCACAGACAGGGCTTCCGGTACCTTCCGCTCTGCCGCAGGCTCTGCGCCCCCCTCCTCCAGGAGACCGTGGCCCTGGGGAAGGCCTGGGGCCGGCACTCGATGGCAGCGTCTCCGCCCACGTGGACGACCGAATTCCTTTTGATGGGATTTTTGGAGAAATCGGGAGCTGAAGCTGAAAACGAAATGTTTAAAAAGAGTGTTCAGTTACTCCCATAACCAACCCGTTGTCACGCAGGCCGTAAGGTGGCACACCTGAGGGACTCTGATATCTGCACCCAGAACCTGTCTCGTGTCCCCGGGCTCGCGGGATCCGGGGGTCAGGTCCCGACTTACGACGTCTCGGCATCTCTGCTTCCATCTGTGCCATGCGATGACCGCAGACATGCTCTCGGGGATCTGGCCCAGGGACTCGGGGAGCCCACACCTGTGAGGGGCTACAGCGCGGTGCCCGGCACAAAGGACGTGCTCGGGAAGTGGGACTCAGTCATGTCCTGGGGCTGCTCACCGCAGCCCCCAGAGCAACCGGGCGAGGGGGACAGAGCAAGTCAGAGAAAGTCGTGCTCTGGAAAGCCTCTCCTGTAAGGGGGTGAGGGCGGGTCCACCGGAGACCGAAGGAGGGTTTCAACCCCGACTAATGGGACCTTTACGCCCACCCCAGCTGATCGCCGATCGCCTAATGTTTCTATGTCTGTGCCTGGCACCTGCACCTGCCTCTCTATCGAGATGGAGGAAATGCCTCTGAGACGCATGGGAAGCACCGAGTCTCCCCGCCAGGATTTTTCAGGCAAGGCTTTAACTACAAAAATGCAAACGGTCTCTCTTCAGGGTGAGTGGGAATCTAAACCGTACGAAGTTTGTCCACTGCGTCACCACGACATGAATGATGAATGATGCCAGTTCCTGAGGACAAGAAATTATTAGCCTGAGTGCAGCCAGGTCTCTCCAAGTTCCAGGATGTGGGTGCCCACGTGGGCAAACCCCGCGGCCAGTCCAGCGACCCACAGCTCCAAAGGCCACGGGCTCCAGCTTCTGTGCCTTTCCGGCCCCCTTTCTGTCCCCCTCCCCTGCCCCTGCCGCCTTTTCCTCTGACCTCACTTAAAGGGCCGGCACTCAGTTTAGGTTTTGCTCAGTGTGCCAAGGGGCCTGATGGCGTCCGCACAATCCTGGGCCACGGCCATTGCAATACTTTAAAATGCGACCTTTTTTCTCGGTGACGCTATACTTCTCTGAAGGAGAAGATCTCCTTGGCATTGATAATGGTACCTGAGGGCCGAGGACACAAGGCATGTTCAAGGGCAGCGGTGAGAAGAGTGGACGAGGGAGTCCATGCCGTCCCCGTGAACCCACACAACGCTGCCTCTCTGTCTGACCCTCCCTCCCGCTCCTCGGCTCGCTCCTCCCGCCCAGACAGCCGGGGCGAGGAGGCCAGTGTCTCCTTCCTCTCCAACTGCTCTGTCTCAACGCCCTCCACTACAGGGGCTCGTTTTCCCGGCTGCCCTGGAGGGCCCAAGTGGAAAAACAAGAAAGACTGTGAGAACCCGAGTATTGAATTCAATAAACTGTGCTCTCCGCTCAAACTCCTGGCGAACTTGTCTCTGCACTGAATGCGAGGCTGCGTGAGTAGGGACGGTAACTGCTCCGTGGTGCACGCAACGGCCAACGGGCTTGTCAGCCACATTCTCCGTGAACATGGGGCGCCTGCGTGGGAGCCTGCTGCGCAGACCCTGCTGCTGGGGACAGAACAACAGCCTGTTCCGTGGCGTCAAGGTCAGAGGGGACACCCCTCGTTCCTTCAGTCTCTAGGCCCGGCTCCGCCGAGGTCCTCTGCACATCCTGCCTCTCTACTCACTGAGCTCTCCAAGGCCACGTCCCTTGTCCTGAGAAGCCTGTCCCCAGGGCTCCTGCCCACAGCTCTTTCTCCGAGGGGGACTCCGGGCAGCTGGTGGTTATCACCTGAACGCACTGACTTGAGCTCCAGAACTGCATGGTGCCCGTCCCATCATCCGTCCCTACCCCTCCCTACGTCCCAGGAGCCCTAAGGGCAGGGAGTGTGCTCATCTCCTTCCCCACCGTGGCCCCATCTCCGGCATTATGTAAATACTCAATAAACGTTTGTCGAAAGGATGAGTCACCCTTTGTGGTAGGAAAGCAGGGTGACTCAGCGAGGCCTCCACCAAACCCTCGCCATGGTCATGGGCAGGCACTCAGTGTCACGGAAGGAGTGTGCTGGAAGGATTCGGGCGAAAAGCTGTTCTTCTGACAAAGGAGATCGACAGGGTCAGTGCTGTTGCCTCTGTCTCTCCTGCCTTGAGCATGGACTTGATGTCAGGAGCTCCAGCAGCCTCTCTGGAACCATGAGGCCACAGGCACATGGGGACCTTGAGGGAACGACAGCATCGAGGTGCCCGCATGCCTCAGCTCAGCTGTCTCGCCAAACTCCTCGTTTAGAGGTCAAATGAACCCCTGTTTGGGAAGCCACCGGAAAGCGAAGTCCCCTTTCCTCAGGGTTGTCTTCGCAGCTGCGAGCATCGCTGGTGCTCAGCACTTTCTGAGCTGCATTCAAACCTCAGCTCTGACCGGCTCCGGAGGAGCTGCTTCCGGTTTGGTGGCCCCAGTGTTGGGACCCCCCCTGGAGCCCTGACGGGTTTCCCACACAGAAACATAATCACCTGCATTTTTTAAAAAGCTAACTGAGACATTTCCCATTATTTCAAGGGAAGGCAACCTCTAATTTACAGGAAAATTGGGTTCAGATTATGTTTAATCACAGCTTGCTAAAATGTCATGTTGAATCTTTTGGTTATAAATGAGTGACTTACCTAATACTCTCAATTCTGCATTTGCATAAATTATCTGGTATTTGTTTTCAGCAGCACATTGGTAGACGCCAGAATCTGACACATTCAGCACAGTTATGATAAGTGTCCCATTTTCTATTTGAATTCTTTCCTAATCAAAAGAGAAGACATGTCGAGAGGCTAGTACATGAACGCAGGCACCCTCTCAATCAGAACAACTCACCAGGAAACCCCCATGCCATTGACGAGACCCCGTGAGAGCTGATGCTGATGGAGACGTACTGGAGCCACCGAGAGACCCCCGGCAGCTCTCCGAGGTGAAAACAATGGAAATATGCCTAGTGCAATTTTAGTAATTAGTATCCTTCAGGTTTTCACAGTTCTTTGAAAACTGGCATTATCTGCCTAAAATCTGTGTCGAGTTTCTGCTGTGCGGGGTAGAAATAGCATGGAGCATGGACGCCTTTCCGTCAGAAAGACCTGAACGCAGCCACCGGACACTTCTAACTGAGCCATAAGCAGGAGGAGCTGGCTTTCCCGCCGGTCAGCTCTCAAGTGTCCTTCAGCCACAGAGCGCCGTCTGGGGTGTAGCGCTGCTGTTTCCAGTGCACTGAGCGTCACAGGGTCCCCGTCACCGCCCTCTGCAGAGGGACAACAGGCCCCGGAGGGTGCACCGTGTGCAGGGCACCCACGGAGGCACCACCGCAACAAAGCCCATCCCTGCTCCCTTTTCTAAACACCAGACGTGTGTGTGTCCCCGGCTGTGCTTTGTGCACAAAGTAAGATGGGGATCCACACGACTGTTTGGATAATGTGAGGGGCAGAGCAGCCCTGTCTCATTTTCCCTGTGGAGACCGGAAGGTGCAGGGCAGGGCCGGGGTTCTCCACCCTCCCGTGGGGTCAGAGACGATCGTTAGTCCCCACGGGAGCAAGGCGCCGGGCCCCAAACAGCCCGCGTGTAGAGCGCCGATTCTAACCTGGCCTGGCTCCGCGTGGCCTCGGACAAGAGACTGACCTTCCCTAAAACCGGTTTTCTTCATTCATGTACGTGAACAGTACTCCCATCTCTCTCCTGCGGTGGTCACGAGGACACCCCAGAGTCAGGCATGGGGGACATGGAACTCGGCCCATCCCTGGGAGACGTTTCAGTCCACGTTTACGGGGACCCTGAGGGTGCTGTCGATGATGGCGGCGATGTCTGGATGTGAACCCCCCATCCAGACAGTATGGGACCGGACCGTGCAAGGTGCCTGCCTTCTCCACCCCCGTGTTCTCAGTGGGAGAACAGGGGATGGTAGGAGTAGCTCCTCTGAGTTAGCTTAAGAATTTCATAAGTTAATGTGTCTGCAGAGTCTGTCGCATTCCCTGGCACCTGCTAAACATCTCGTCACTGCCGGCTGTCCCCGTTAGCGAGAAAACGCCCCTCCAGAGTCGGCCAGCTGCTGCCGTCGACACCTGTGCTCACCTGTGGGCGGAGGGGCTCCCCGTTCTTCAGCCACCTGTACCAGGGGCGCGGCCTCCCGCGGGCCCGGCACTCCCAGTGCAGGCTGCCGTAGACAGACAGGTGTGCGTTCTGAATCGTCCGCTCCCACTCCGGAGGGGCTGTTGCAGAGAGAGGCAGACAGCGGTCCGGCGCGTCAGTTATTCCAGGCACCCTGCTCTGCCCCCGGCCCCGCCGCAGTGAGCAGAGGGGAAGGCTGAGTGGGCCGAGAAGCCCTGGAAATGCCAGGGCCTGGACGTGGGGCGTCCGAGATCCCAGGGAGGACACCGGTGGGCCTCAGCACCAGACAGAGGTTGTCCTTTGTCACTGCGCCGCTGCACACATGTGACAACTCGGCATTGAGGGAGAGGGTCCGAGTGCAGAGCGAGACCAGATCATAATTCCGTGCTGTCAGCATAGAGGTTAACTTAGAGAACGTACACCAAGTCTGAACCCCTCGGGGGCAAAGAGCATTGCTTATACTTGATCTGAGCTAACTAAACGGAAGTGTCTTTGTCAGACGTAACTAAGCTCAGTCGCCCGATGCGCACATCCAGCACGAACTGCGCTGCGTTTTAGCGAGGTGACGGCCCACCGTCTCAAAGCTCGAGTCGGGGACTGAGAACCCGCCCAGCGGCCTCCTGCTCCAGCACCTTGGCCCTGGGCACGTGCTGTCCGGAGCCTCGCTTTCCAGCCTGAGAAAGTTCTACGCAGCAGAGAGGCGAGATGCAGCAGGTACGCTAAAGTGCCAGGCTCCTTGCTGTCACTCACGGAAAGGGGCAGGGTGTGGGGCGGCTCTTCCGGCACCGACGTGGTGGTGGGAAGGCACCTCGGGAAGGGGCCGGGGACCCAGGGCAGGGGGAGGGGCCTTGCTTCAGAGGCCCATGCAGAGCTCTGGTCTCAGACCTGACCGCTGCGCTGCCCGTGAGACCTGGCCCGGTTCACCGGAGGCTTCTCGCCCATCGCAGCCCTGAACATTACTCTGCATCTCGTTACCGTGGGGATGACGGGGGTGGGGTTCACGGAAGTGCCCTGTAAGGGGATGGTTGAGGCGCCCTGCAGAAGCAAGTGCTTTATTACTGGTTTCCAATGTGCAGATGCCTTCGTTTCCTGCTTGGTCTCTTGGTTACATCTCCGTCTACTTATTAGAAAAGTGAGTCATCCATTAAAAACTAGCCAGACCTAGAACACTTGGTGCCACTTGAAAAGTCCCAGTTACATCATTATTTTATTTACAGGAGATGCTAAATTCCAAAGACTTTCTGTTAAGTAGCAGGAGCTACTGAAAAGAATATATACTAATATATAAAATATTTATATATCTCTATATATTATATATTAGCATTGCCACACATATAAGTAGCATATATACACATATGTGTATCTGCATTGCCACAGCTCTAGAGAAGTAATCAGACGGGAATCGTGTCCTATTTATAAAATAGTGGTCTTCACCCCAGGTTAAAAGTGACAGTCTCGAAGGGAATGGGGACTAGCATGACCCAGGGCGGTGTCCTTCCCAGAAGACCCTCCGGCATTCCTATGGGGACCGGCAATGCCTTAGATTTGCTAGTTATCAAAAAGTACATTTTTTCACCAATGACTTTACTAATGATTATTAACATGTCACATACTAGCATGTGATATAGAGAACTATTTTGGGCCATGTGTAAATACGGGTTCTAAAAGTTCTCTAGTAGAGATATATTAAATTTAACAAAGTCAAGACTATTTTTAAAAGCACCAAACATTCGGATAATGCTGGGGTGAATCTAATGCAAGCGCTGAGCTTGGCCTGGACGAGAGAAGGCGGAAAGACGGCGTTCAGACCCCACGTGTCTCCCCGGCTCTCTGGGGTCCGTGGGGGAGTGAGGCCGTGGAGGCAAGCGTGTGTTTTGAGTGAAGTGGTGACCCTGCTTCCCGGCCTCAGACCTGCGGGTAGACGAACCCCTGGGGAGGGGAAGTGGACACTGAAAACCTTCTGTGACTGCCCCTCCCCCAGGTTTTCTAATTCCCCCGGAACTCCTGCGTGACTACGACCCCCTAGGCTGCGGCTGCCAGTTGGACGGGAACTCAGGGGGTTGTGAATGCCTGCCCCTGCGACACTGCCGCCGTTGTCCAGGCAGCTCTGATCGGACACGGGATGCCCAGCCCTGGCCAGGATCAGAGTCGAGACTCAGGAAAGGCCATTGCCCCCTTCTAACCGTCGTGTTTCGCACCCTACCCCACAGGTGGCCCCCACAGTGCACCCAGGGCCTTCACCAGTGGCTGGGGCTCCCCGGGTGCCCCGTACACCCCCTGCCCCCCCGGCAGCTCACCGTAGAACAGGAGGTGGCCCTTCGCTCGGTTCCTCCCGCGCGGGTTGCCCGCCGTGCACTCGTAGAAGCCTTCATCTTCCTGTTGAAAGTTCGGGATTTCAAGGGTAGCCTGGGATTTGCTGTACTTGACTTTCCCTGGCAACGGGCTTCCATCCAACCTCCTCCAACTAATGTCGGGGACTGGACTGAACAGGTACACCTCATTAGAACACAGTCCGGCTCAGCCTCGCGACAGCAGGCAACAGCAGAGCGTCCTTCAAAACAACTCCCAGGGAAAAAATCCAATTAATCGATCACATGGAGGCTGGGTTTCAGTCACACAGCACACGCTCGTTCCCCTCACGGTCGCCCAGCACTCTGTCACACACATGCAGTGGCCAGGGGACAAGGCAGGGACTGAACCAGACTGGTCCTGCGCCCTCAGGCAGCTGACACACTGCTGTCAACATGCCACAAACAAGCAGTAGGGAACAAGTGCATTTGTGGATTTTGACCATGGGGACACTTATTGAAGCTGCGGCGAGAGTCGCAACAGTGTATCAATTTAAACACCGTGTTCAGGAGACGCTGGCAAGTTCCCTCTGCGTTTGCAGATTCTGAGAAAACAATTCAGATCCTGCTAAAGCTAAGCCGGTGCTGGCAGGGGGGCGGTGGGTGAGTGAGGTTATGGGGGGCAGTAGTGTCGTGGACCCCTGTGCACTGGGGGCACATGCTCTACGACCCTGAAAAGTGCACCTGTCACCCCGTTCAGATAAAAGGAAAACAACAATAACATAAGAGATAACATGGCATCGTGCCCTGTCTCCCATTGAAACAAATTTGCAAAGAGTTTCTTCACTTACAGGGATTTAGCTTAATGTCATATATCCGATATGTTTAGTGTAACACTAAATATATTTTTAACATGTAAACTTAATATCTAACAGTAAAGAATGGCTTTAAAAATCTGTGGAGGAGAAGGCCTCATTTTACAGGTTTGATGCAAGGAAACATTATAATGCAGGCTATAAATAAAATTACACACGGACGATATTTCCTAACAAATGAAGCGTTCGTAAAATCTGTCCCGACCGATTTTCCTTGACCTCTTTCCTTTCCTCCTGGCCAAGCAGTCTTCCTTCCCTGAGCGACTGTCAGGTGAGCTAAATGTCCATGTTCTGAATGCATTTTACGTGAACAATAAGGACAGAATCATTTTCATGAAGCCCAGTTGTCAGCTTTGCAAAAGCATCAGCTTCTTCGAGTCGAGGGAAGCGAGGTGGGGGAGATGCTGCCCGCACACCGAGGGGCTGGCAGACCTGCAGCGGCCGCGCCGGGAAGCCGCCACGGACACCTGCAGGGCGACCCCGAGCAGCTTCACAGGAAACACGGACACCGGTAATGCTCCGGGAGTGTTGTACCGGCTGGAGATGGTGATCTCGCGTGCACACCAAACATGCCGTCAACATAGACAATGATACGTGGGCTCTCGCCCATTTGTCAGAAAACATAGCCCTCCTTCGGTGTTCGATGCCATCGTTTGTCTCAGAACTCACCAGACGGCTACAAACGCAAACTGAACTTCAACACGAAATAAAATCACAACGATCATACATTTAGTTTCTGTCCTTTTAAAAAGCCTTGCCACTTACCCCCAAATTAGGCTGACAGGTTAGCAAAATGGCACATGCCTGCCGACGGCTAACTTCCGATAACGGCTCCCCGGCCGTGCATTGCAGGACCGACCGAACCGGCACGAACAGAGCGGAGTTCGAAGGAAAATGCGTTTGCTCGGAAGGAGCGTCACCGAGTCTGAGGAATTCTGTGGTGTGTGCAGCTCTACCCGGTTACTGTAAACGTGTGTCCTGCATCCGTGAACCGGCAGCACTTCCTTTCTTCTGGGCTCGAATGTCTGTTTGTTTCCACTTTCTGTTTATCTCGATTTTCCATCCTTTCCCTACTATGTGCGCATACGACCCGCGCAATGACGAGTTCTAAGCAAATTTATTTACAAAGAGAAAAGCAGAGGCTCCGACACACCTCTGACTATGTGACCCTCCATCTCCTGACAGCGTGTCTGTGTGGCAGGGACATGCCAAGTCCCCAAGTGGGAAAGCCTCAGATCTCCGGCACTCGGACAAACCTGAACTTGAGTAGAGAGCGTTTTCCCACGCTTATGCAACTCGCGTGCATAAGCGTCCTTTATTTTGATGGTGGAGACCAAGGTCACCTTTTAAGGCATCTGCCTGAACCTCTGAGCCAGTAACAGGACATTTAATAATGTCCTGACATTTAGTGATGTGACCGCAGGACGTCACAGGAACAGCTAGTGCGGCCCCAGCCGGCGCTGTGCCAGGCGGGGCGCCTGGGGGAGCGTGTCCCAACGGTCCCACCACCTCTCCCAGCGCCCGACCGAGCCAAGCCAGGCAGACCCCAGAGCCGCTGCAAGGCCCCTCTGACAGCATTGCCCTTTGTGGTTCTACAGGAGGTGAGTCTCCATTTCGGGGGGACCTGCGTACTTAAGTGGGAGCAAAGAGAACAAGTCCACCCATCTCGACTCTTCGGAACCCTGCTCCCCGGCCCCCACAATAAAAGAACCCAGGGAAGCCACGCCAGCCTCTCTGGACACGCCCTGCTCCCTCAGGAGTGTCCTGGCCTGTCTGCTCCTGGTGGCCCTTCCCCGTGGCAGCTGTGCAGGAGGGAATGTCAGCACCGCCCCCACCTGGGCGCCTGAGCCTCCAGATCCCCACACTCCCTTCCTCGAGGCTCAACCCCAGCACCTCTGGCGACAGTCACCCTCCAGCTGCCGGGGCTGACCCTCCTTGGACCTGGGCTCCCTGCACCTCTGACTTCAGGTCCTGCCCCGAGAGGCCTCTCTGCCTGTGGCCGCCGTGGCTGGCCAACCACGGGAACCAGGGTCGCCCGTCAGACAGCCAGGCATCCAGCTGGAGCCGCTCGGGCCGAGATTCTGGAGGGAAGCCTCCCGTGGGGGGACTGGCTCCGACAGCGGGGTGCACGGGGGCTTCTGGGTGATGGTCTCCAGGACAGGTAGAGAGAGGTCCTTGGTGCCAAGGCGAACATCGCCGGGGAGAGAAGCATGGACTTCTTCACTCGCACAGAGCGAGCGAGGCCCGTGCTGGACTAATTGTCTTTGGGGAGTAAGCTTTTCTGAGTCACAGTCCTGCTGTTTGGGTCCGAAAGGTCCTGACCGGTAGGTTCTGATGCCTGGGTTCCGGCGTTCACAGGCTCCTCTCTGTCTGTGTGATTGAATTGTAGGGTTCAGAGATGCGGCGCATTAGTCTGGGTGTCGTGTTTCAGGTAGTTTAGAACTCTCAGCGCAACTACACTGTCAAAGAATAGTCACGCAAACGGTAACTTCATTTTTCAGTCGGAGAGTCTTACCAAGGATGTCGTGTGGCCGTATTTCGTGTTAACAAGTTTCTAAGGGGATAAAGAAATCAGGCAGTCTGGCAGGACCCCCCAGTTCTTATTTATATAAAGACCGAAAGGCCGTTCTGGGTTGCCCCGTCACTGCTGACTGTGACTGCGTGGTTCTCGTGGCACCGGAGCCCGCACACCGGGGCTGGGGAGGGTCCCTGAGGGGCCAGCGAGGACGCACACACACTCCCCGGTGGCGGGCACTTCCAGTGAGGACACTCCACACCTGCAGTGTCTCCTTTTCACACCTCCTTTCTGAAGCCACGTGAAGGGGGCTGCCGGGCCCTGGGGGTCTTCGAGGGGCTTCGGCGGGGGCAGGGAGGGGGACATCAGTGTTTAGTCTCTCCAAACGTTGGGGTCAGGAGGTCAGCCATTCTGATGGCTGAAATCCACCATTTGGGGTCCAATTCCCAGCCAGCGACAATTTCTTCCCCTTCCTCTTTTTAAAAAAAAATCTTCGCAAATAGGATGTAGATGAAAATCCTACTTGATGCAAACGTCGGGAAAGAGAGCAAATCTGGAGCACGGCGCTCACTGCGGCGGGTTCCTGACCGCAGACGAGGACCCCACGAGCCCCGGAGTCCAAGGCAGCGCGGCCACAGCCCCACCTACTTTGCTCCCTGTGTTCTAAGCCGAGGCTGCGAGGCGGGCTCCTGGCCTGTGAAGTACGGCCAGAGAGCGGACACACAGCCATTTCTTCCTCTCGTCCTTCCTTTCTGCCCCAGCCCCTGGTTTCCTGCTTCTCACGGCGTCGCCCTAGACAAGGACCTGGGCTCCGTCCTCCGGTCCTTACCTTGTCCCGAGTGAGCGCCCTGTTAACTGTGGCAAAGACAGGGATACGCTTTCTAACCATCTGGCCTAGCTCACCCTTAATTGGAAGTTAAATTAAAGCCCTCCACGCACTGGGAGGAACTGTGTTTCCACTCCAGACTTGTAGCCCATAAATAGAATTTTCATTACCAGGAGCATTTGAGAAAGCTTCTATTTCTCGCCCGGATTTGTGAAGCCTCATTATCCGCAGCTGAAATCCAGCTCATACCAAGTTTTCAACCAGAAAGTGGTAGAGAGAACCTGTTTTCTAAGATGCTCATATTGGGATTATTCTGCACTTGAACTTCGTTTCTGAAAATACCATCGGTGGCCATTTCTAATCAGAGAGACTGAGGCCGGGTCAGAAAACCAGCCAAGGCCTTTGTCAGGGTGTCAAGTGGCCCCACCAGCCGCTTTCATTTTCCAGCCCGAAACGTCCGCACACGGAAGGCCGAGGGGGTGCAGCGGGCAGATTCGAGGTTCTGCAGAAAAGCATCTCACCACTCTGGAGAGGGGACAGCGTTCCTGGTCCGAGGATCGATCTCAGTGTCGTCTTGGCCCTGGGCCCCGGCAGCAACCGCGCCGGCCTGCCTCGGGAAGCCTCGTGATCGGAGAGTGTCCGCCTGCTGGGTCAGACCCCCGCTGGCAGCCCCAGAAAAGCCACCACGACTTGCTCATGGTGACAGTGGCACTTGCACGCTGGGTAAAAAGACACAGGCAAACTGAGCAAGAGGGCACAGACACCGGACCTCCGGATTTCAGCTTCCCCTCACCTTCAACCAGAGGCAACGTGGGCACGAAAAAGGGGGGATCAGAGGAGGAACTGTCCGTGAGACTGTGAAGTTGGAACCAGAGCTGTGGCTCGCTAGATCGCTGACTACTGCGATGACCAGAGGGGGACAGGAAGGCCCTGTTACTGTCCAAAGAGTCCCTGAGGACTCTATTGCCACTTTCTGCT